GTGGCAGACTTATGCGTGCCGTTACGGATGTGAATCCATTGGATATCAAAGTTCGAGGATGACAGACTGTCTAAGTCAGCACCCAACGTGTTTTGGGAGGCGGTAACTACATTTGGGCATGTCATTTTTCCCTGGTTTGCTGAAGGATGAATGCAAACTGCTGGGTGGTGGCCTCAAAAAGATCGGTCGTGTTTCGTTCCGTAATATAGTCTGATACACAAGATATGTGACGGAGATACTGATGCAGGCTTGAAGTTTGCAGATGCAATTTTATCTGATGGCATCTGCCCTTTACAAGTAAACAAGCTGAAATAAAAACACAGATTTATGCTCTCACGAGGGGAAATTTTTTGTCACACGAGGACGATCATCATATACTCGAGACGAAGAAAACAAGGAACGAGAAGCTAGAAGGCAATGTAAAATTGTTTAGACCTTGTTCGATCTCAGTTCACGAGTGCTCCGACTAAGACGAAATTTCTTTCGTTTGATGTTGCCGTTTATATTAGAACCGCAAAGAGTTCCAGTTGGAAAACGATTTAAGATGCACACAGTTTTATACTTACTGCGGCTGACTCCTTGGAAAAGATAAGCCGGCTCCAGACATGATGATAATCATGATCATGAAGTTTGTTGGGAGTTTGTTACGAGAGACGTCCTCAGATTCATACCACTGATTATCATTTGCGAAGGATCAAGCTTAGCATATTCGACGAAAGAGCGATCCCTGTCTCCCTGAAGTATAGGTGAATCCAAGGAGGTAGAGGCAGACGTATTCCTATTCCCAAATAATCCCACTGATTCAAACCACTTTTTCGAAATGTTTCATTCCCAAAAAGCCCATATACAGATCCGTTCTGTACTGTGCATAAGCATAGTACACATATTCCGTTTGAACGTTTGCGCCCATCAACTCCCACGTTCCTCGTAGTATATTGGTTAGTTCGCATGAAACTGTCATGATTACAAAAGTACTAAATGCTGTTACCGCTTAAAGCTAAAATCATATACATTCTTTTTTTAAACTATTTATTTTACTTCCTTTTATTGAATGCACAGGAAGGGATAAGCGGCCAATCGAAGGGCTGCCATTCCACACATAAAGAGGAATCAGGCGGTGGTGGTGGGATTCGAACACATCCCCGGGGGGATAACTTGGTGACGTTACCACCGGGTCACCACCGCATTAGTGGGTTATTGTATTGACGCTTTATCGAATTATATACAAACTTCCAGCCAAAAATAGACCACAGTCAAATAACTGATAAAAAGTGGGACGTCCAACGTGCAAAAATATGAATTAACTCCTAACTGCATAAGAAAACTGGGAACGAGTACTTTTATTGTCAGTCAGTACCCGGCAAGGTAGGCTACCAAAGAGTTTCTGAATGCAGATATCCGAGATGGGACGAACATATGTTTGGAGCAGGCGAAGGGGTGGAATTTACATGTACACACGTCAATGTGTAAAGGATGGGTGTGATTTGATAGAATATTGTCAGCAGACTTCAATCACGCATCAATAAGAGCATTACAGATGTGAACAATAAGAACAAATAATGGAACTTGGGAAACACGACTGATCATTGAAAGGTCACTTCTCGCTACTCAAAATCCGTCTTCAGAAAACCAGGGAAAATCACAGTGAAGTAGTAAAGGGCTATAGAGGTAGGTGTGCAGGTCTGGTCAGGTATTTCAATAAGGAGAAATCTGCATTCACTCAATTGGTTCATATCCCTCGTGTAACAAGCGTCATATCTACGGAATGTGGCAGCATGCCAGGCTGCGTCTTGCGTTTGGGGATGATAAAAGCGGATACAACGCTCTTGATCGAGATTAGACCTATGCGGGTGCGTATGCAACAGATGACATGAATACCAAAAGGGTTCTCCACTTTCATGTAAACCCAATTCTTACATTTTTATAGTAACTTTTAACCTCATCGATCAGGCATTGAGATAACCAAATAGAAGTAACCAATCACAGAAAAGTTCAATGCGTTCAATTATTGGTTGAAACTAAACACACGTAACCCTTCACACATGACGCAGCGTATGTACTTAGCGTTTTTGATTCTTATTACACAAAAACCATCAAAAAATGTCGAAAAGTCTAGCGTTCGGTTACGAATGGTGGCTTGAAGCTTGATTTGGTTGCCTGAACCAAATTCCACTATGCGAACACATAGGAGCTTTCATTGCTTTGTGGTGTTGTAAATAGATTGTGGAAGCATGACCGATTAGCAGGTGAAGTGTGACTGCGATCAAATAAGACATGTGTTGAGACTAAAAAGTTCACAAGAATAATTCCAGTGCTTTTGCACCCCCGAGATAGAGACCGACAGTCCGATTATTGCTCTGTACTGAAGTAAAAACACGGAAAGTGGATACGAGGACTCACTTTCTGGTAAATCATAATCAGTTGCACTGCCGGTAAGCCGTAGAAAATGGAGATGATGATCAAAAACCTGCAAAATTTAAACAGTGGGGAACGAGATCAAAGGAAAGTCATTCGCAGCGTCCATATGACGCAAAAATGAGCAAGAAAAGTGGGAATTATTAACAGTTTACTCACCAGAAATATAGGATATATTTGCGATTCAACTGGATGTAGGGCTTTTGAGACAAATCGATTAGCTGGAAAGGGCAAATAAAAAATGTTAATAGGTGAGCATACTACTAGGAGGAACAGGAGCCGGGGTAAAAAGAAGAGGTATGGGACCAAACACAGAGATACAGACGGATAGGAAGGAATCGATAAACCAAAAACCATTGTACATAGGGAGCCAATCGTGTGCGGAAACCCCGAGGCAATAATCAAGTGCGTGAACATAGAGAAATGATACTGTCTGGATATGAATTAAATTGCACAGTACTGATAGATTCGGGATAACAAAATGAAACGGGGGCGTTGTGAGGTTACCTTAACGTGTGGGTGAAACTGGTACAAAAACACAAAAGGTGCAAACTGTTTTATAGGCGATAGAACAAAATGGGCTATCAATTTCATAGAATATCTAAAGAACGACAGGTTGTGAGGAGTGTATGGGTTTACGGATACTTTGTCCAATCTTCATGTTTACACAAGTTAGTAACCTTTCTTCGGTATCCCGGTAAAAAAATGAACGCCTATTCCGAATATAAAAAACGGATATTGAGATGTGATTCCGAGGTGCGAGAGTCAACAGAATGGTAAAGAACCAAACGGAATTTCGTAATAATGCGAAAAATTAGTGCACAGGGTATAATTACTTTGAATTGGAGACCACTGATCATTGTAATTAGATTCACACGCATCGAGTAGTCAAAGTGGGTAATTATCCATTAGAAATTAACGGACATATGATATCGCCAATGCAATAGGGGAAGTTGAAGGCCAGCACAAAAGATACGCCAATAAGTGTATTCTAAACTACATTTATTCGATAAGTCAGATTGATGTAAACAGAATACAACAACGTATCAGAACTAGCCATAAAACTC